AACCTAATGCCTTTCTTCTAACTTTGATTGTTAAAGTTATTCACCCGACATGCTAACCATAGGAGAACATCACAAGAGCATTGTATGGCCATTGGTCTCTTGAAATGGGCCGTTTCCGAGTTCCAGAAACCCTCGCGTTTCAAAACGAGGCAATTTGCAAAAACTTTGTTGTGAAAATCAGTTTTATTTGCATGAAAATAACAGATAATTTTCATATCACTTAGCCTCGCTTTAAAACAGTGGCCTGAGGCAATTGGGAAATGGCCTACTGGGTTGCCTGAGGAGTCAAAAAAGATATTTTAGAATGCCTTTTTCATTTTCACTTGCAAGTTGAACGTGATATTTTAAAGTCTGATAGCACAGAGAGACAAGATTCACAGTGATAAGTTAAAAAAATCATGTGTTTTGATCTAAACTGTCAAAGGCAGGAACAGGGAAGTTTGGTAAACGATCCTTCTTCCTTCCTTCCTTCCTTCCTTCCTTCCTTCCTTCCTTCCTTCCTTCCTTCCTTCCTTCCTTCCTTCCTTCTTTCCTTCCTTCCTTCCTTCCTTCTTTCCTTCCTTCTTTCCTTCTTTCCTCCTTTCTTTCTTTCCTTCCTTCCTTCTTTCCTTCCTTCCTTCCTTCCTTCCTTCCTTCCTTCTTTCCTTCTTTCCTTCCTTCCTTCCTTCCTTCCTTCCTTCCTTCCTTCCTTCCTTCCTTCCTTCCTTCCTTCCTTCCTTCCTTCCTTCCTTCCTTCCTTCCTTCTTTCCTTCCTTCCTTCCTTCCTTCCTTCCTTCTTTCCTTCCTTCCTTCCTTCCTTCTTCCTTCCTTCCTTCCTTCCTTCTTTCCTTCCTTCCTTCCTTCCTTCCTTCCTTCTTTCCTTCCTTCCTTTCCTTCCTTCCTTCCTTCCTTCCTTCCTTCTTTCCTTCTTTCCTTCCTTCCTTCCTTCCTTCCTTCCTTCCTTCCTTCCTTCCTTCCTTCCTTCCTTCCTTCCTTCCTTCCTTCCTTCTCTTCCTTCCTTCCTTCCTTCCTTCCTTCCTTCCTTCCTTCCTTCCTTCCTTCCTTCCTTCCTTCCTTCCTTCCTTCCTTCCTTCCTTCCTTCCTTCCTTCCTTCCTTCCTTCCTTCCTTCCTTCCTTCCTTCCTTCCTTCCTTCCTTCCTTCCTTCCTTCCTTCCTTCCTTCCTTCCTTCCTTCCTTCCTTCCTTCCTTCCTTCCTTCCTTCCTTCCTTCCTTCCTTCCTTCCTTCCTTCCTTCCTTCCTTCCTTCCTTCCTTCCTTCCTTCCTTCCTTCCTTCCTTCCTTCCTTCCTTCTCCCGTTCCTTCTTCCCTTTTTCCGTCCCTCCCTCCCTCCCTCCCTTCCTCCCTCGTCCCCTTCCCCTTTCTTTCTTTCCTTCCTTGCGTCCTTGGTTACTTGCTTTCTTGCTTGCTCGCTTCCTTCCTCCCTCACTTCTTCCTTCCTTCCTTTGTTCCTTACTTCTGTCCCCTCTTTCGTTCGTTCCTTCTTTCCTTTTTCTCTTTTACCAGTTAATGAATATATCAGATGGACAAGATTACAGTGCATTGCTTCTTACATTGCCTCTTTTGATTTTGTTCATTTGTGTGCTTGTTTTTGTCAGATTCGGAACCACCAAAACTTAATTGCTCCGATGACATCACTGCAGACAATGACGCAGGAACAAAAATGGCGACTGTGACATGGGGCTTTAACTTTACAGACAACTCGCTCAAGGAAGATGAATCAGGAATATTCACCATCGTGTTAACAATCGGTGGCGATAACGTCGATACAAATCTCCCAAAGCTTTTCGAAATCGGTCAGAAAAGTGTCCAGTATACAGTCACAGATCCTGCGGAAAATTCGGCGACATGCCAGTTTTTTGTGAAAGTGTTAGGTTAGTAAAGAGAAGTTTATATACATATTTTTTATTTTACTCGCCTCGTCAGATTGCTAGGCAACACGAGCATTTGCGGCAGTTGCTGTGGACCCGAAATAGTCCCTTCCCTAAACAACCAATGTGGAGAATGCAGAGTTTTGTGAGTTTGCTTTCTAAACAGTTTAAAAAAAAAATGGTCCAGAGTTTTTGGTTTTGTTTGTATCTCTATCTTGCTAAGCTTTTATCTGAATTAAATTTTTGTATGACCCCAGTGTTATGCTAATCTTATAAGTTCTGTGTCTTCTCCCCTTCAGCAGACACGACTGATTAGGGTTTCGATAAAATTTGTAAGTTCACAGCTAGCTTTAAGTTTATCGCCATGCATACCTTTTGATGAATGTTTAAACTGAATCCATGGAAAATGGGAACTTAAGAAACTTATATAAATCGATTTCCCTCGAAACTTCACATGACATAAGCTAGAGTTACACATGTACAAGACCTGTATTTTACTGAAGGTGTTTTGAATACATGCACTGTAAGTGTGACGGAGATATAGAGTATTATATGAATGAACCAAAGGGTTTCAATTAATGTAAAGGTCAATTATTATGCATCGAGATAAATAGTTGAGATACGTTCCTGTGA